TAGTTATTTCAATGTATGTTTGGTAAGTATTATCTACGCTTTTTATTAAATCTGTTATACGAGGAAGTGTAGCAATAATACCTTTAACATTGGTCCCTTTAATGCATAAATCAAGGACTTCTCTGTATAACCTTCAATTGATAAAAAATTTCATTGCACATCATTCCTTTTTATGGTTGCAGCTGTGATGTATTTAACTTAAAAAATAAATGAATACCAGCCTGATTTTTCAAAAAAATTATCGATCTTTTATATCATCCTTGTCTAAAGTGCAGCCCAAACGCAAATTAAAAAAAATATTACATTCATACATTTTTATTAAAAAAAATAAATGCAATATTTTACATATATAACCGATTCGTTGACATCTATTTTGAAATAAAAATTTAAATAAAAACATCTTAGTATGCCATAAGAATTTAGGTCTTGAATTATGTGTGTATGAAAATTCGACGGTGAATTTTTTGAAAAATTACAATATTTGCATGACAATTTCCAACCGAAAGAAAAATTTCGAAATGTTTTTTTACTGGAGTTTTATAAAGATTACCTTCCCTGCGATAAATATCCTAATTTTCACAATCATGCTTTAGTAATGTCTTCAGATTTTGGCAGTACCTATATTTGTGAACAATTATTTTCAAGAATAAAGCATACAAAAAACAAAAATAGGACAAAGATCACTGACAAACATCTTGGAAATGCATTAAGAACTGCAACCTCGTCTATTGAACCCGATATCGATTTGATATGATTTAATTTTTTCCATCTTTATGAAACCCAAAATAAATAAAACGAAACTTTTACAAATTTAAAATAAGTATGTATCTACTCATATCTAATTCAAATTGAAAAAAATTATAACAAAAATAAGTTAATTTATTTTAATAAAACTACACAGTTAATTTTTATTTCAATTTGTACAAAAAAATACTGTACGTGCGGCACAGATTTTTTTTTCTATGCGGCCCTCAAACGGTCATTGTTTAGGCAACCCATGTTTTTTTTTTTGTATTCTGAGTTTTAAGGTATCCGACTACGTTCGGAACAGTGATTTTGCAAAAGCATGTAAATGGATAATATTTATGATATTTAGTGTCACTTAGATTAGAAAATGTATATAAAATTTTTTTAAGAATAGTATTACAATAAAAAATGATTTAAGTACAAGATTTTGACAATAAATGAAAATAGATCTTTTCAAATATTCTCCTTTTTAAAAAAAATGCTTCTATTATAATAATATTTCGCCTGTATTAAAAATAAATAACTAGAATTTTTGAAATATATGACAAAGAAGTGGGTTTATCCATGTTTTATGACAACAGAGGGGAGAAATTTTAAGAAAAAAACGCCGATCATTATTTCAATGGGTTGTAACTCTGAAAATAATGTAAAATTTTCAAAAATCATAGTTGAGCCTCTGTACGAGGTCCGGCTATATACAGGCAAAATATTATTATAATGAAGCATTTTTCACAAAAGGAGAACATTTTGAAAAAAGGTTATTCTAAGTTAATTTTTTGCAGAAATATTGTATTTAAATATTTTTGTCAAAATGTCCTTAAAACAATTTTATACATTTTTACTAATCTAAGTGACACTAAATATCATTAAAATTATCCATTTATGCGCTTTTTTAAAATCACGGTTCCGAACGTAGTCGGATACCTTAAGAGAAAGCTACATATTATACAGAGCAAAAACACTTTCAGGATAAATTCTCAGATTCAAAACACGTTCATTGATGCAAACGATTATAATTTTTGCCGCGAAAAGAAAATTTTAAAAAATATGTCAAGGACGTTCGGAAAATCCTATACACACTGTCGAGAAAAGTACAGTGTACTTTCCAACCACAATAAGCGGTATTTTGCACAAATTGAAAAAAATAATAACAAAAAGTAGAAAGTTGAACGAACGTTTAGGCAAAGTCTTCCTTTTAAACGAACCACAAAACGACATTGAACATCAGTTTGCAAACATGGTATTGCGAAACTGGATTTAGAAGTGTCTTTCCACTGTTACAGTGGGAGGAGTAAGACTCAGAAGCGACATCTACTCCCGAAGTGAGAGCGACATTGAGCAACAAAATCCGTTCAAGGAAAAAACACCCGAGAGGTACGATTGAAAGGTGCATTTCCAGGAATAACTAAGGTTATTCCATAAAACTTCTGATTCGATTCTCGAGATCTGTTTTGCCGTTCACCAGATTCGATCATTTCATGCAAAAAGTGTTTTTCCCCCCGTTCTTTTCGAACAGCGGAGTTCTCTTATTCTAATCAAAAGGTGTTGAAACGATACTCTTTTCTAAAAAGATTTATCAAAGCTTATGACATAATAATTACGATGTGTGAAGGACTTATCAAATATAGATGCCGGCTTGTTATCATTGGAGGTCACGAAATGAATTGAAATGTATTTTTAACTTGGAACAGGGCGATTGAGAGACGCTAAACGAAACGACAAACGATTTGTATGGAAGAAAAACTGTTTGTCCAATAAGATTTCTTTATAGAATTACAAGAATTAGGGGTTAAAATTAAGATTTTCCGATAAAGTTATTTTTTAAAATATGTTTTTTAATTTGTTTAAGTAACAATTTTTTTTTTTAAATATGCTCAAATGAAACAAATTTGTTACATATTTCTGATTCCGCCATTTTTATTTCATGGTCCTGAAAACATTTTCTTTCTTGTTCAGCGTCTTTCTCAAAATAGGATGGAATTAATTTTTTAGAACAGCGTTTCTCAAACTGGGGTACGCGCCCCCTTAGGGGAGTATATCGAAAAATTGAAAGCAAGATATTATTTAAGAAAAAAATATATTAATTTACGGAATGAAAGAAAACCCCAAAACATATTCTGACTTAATAAAATATAAAATACACATTTACGTTGGTAGAATACACTTCTAAATGTATCAGTACCGCACAATGAATTTGATAAGCAATTCATTAATACTAAATTAAATAAACAAGTTTAATAATTACCAGTGAAGTCATGGGCTTGTCATATATAAAATTATATGTAAAATGTAATACTTATATTGATAATATATACGGTTTATAATAAAAGTTATGGTGCTCTTTACATTTGTGTGATCGTTACTAAATTAAATGAGAGGTTCTCATGGACTTGACAGCAAAGAGGTTTCTTTTGGTAGGCAATTCTAACGTTTATTTACAATTATAATTTCTAAACTAAGAACTATTTTCTACAAAAACCGCTACATAACACATTCTGCTCGCTTCGTAACGTGTCGTTTCAGTTCTTTTGACCGTTCTTTTCCGAGTCCTTTGTTTACAAAAGCTAGTTTCACATAGCGGACGCTAGATGGCGCAACAAAAGTCGTATTGTTGCTTTAGCGTCAGATTATATTTTTGTTCAATACATTGTTATTGTATGGCGGGGGGCGTGATGAAAATTAAGATTGTAAATTGGGTCGCAAGTATTGAAAGTTTGAGAAGCACTGCTTTAGACACTATCATAAACTGTGTGGATTTATAACTCCTTTTTTTAAAGAAATTTATTATAAATATAATGCTATATATTTATATTTATTTGACATACAATTCAAGAAAAGATTGAGTGTGTTTCTATCTGGCAAAAAAATTTATAAAAATAACTAAAGTAACCGTTTAATAACTTATCAATATAAAGCAACTCTTGGCTGTTGGCAACGCACCTCGTAATTTTGAACCATGGTCAAGGGAAGAGGATGACACTTCAGCTGGTAGTCCATTCCTAACTCTCCCACCACGCCAACGAGAGGATTTTTAGCCTCGACAACGCGCATCAGCCATTTACACGGCGGGTCTTTACTGGCACTAGGGCTAGAGCTCATGACACGCCGGACACGAATTCATGATTATAACCTCCAGCTTTCACGTTCACATTGTGATACCCCACGCGCAGGGAGTATCATCTCTTCATCATCCACGTGATCTATATTTGAGGGAATGAAAGATGGACGACCACTAAACTCTGCCATAATAAAATTAGTTTATTATGATCTTAATTTATATACAATAAAACAACACTAGTCTAGAAGGCTTATGATCAGGAGTGATGCAACGCAAACCTTAATTCTGACAAATAGCGAATTAGCCACTAAATTTATATTTATAGATTATTTCCTAACAATAGAATCGCTCTGGTTTTAAAAAGCTTAAGAAAAACCGTCTTACCGCTATTTCCTTGGCGAACAGCTACGGTCCTTAAATCATCACTGTATTCCTCAATCCGACTTGCTCCGTCTAAGGGAATACTCTTCTGGTCTCGGACCCACTTATTACTCAGCTTCACTGGCACTATTAAACCGACTAACAGAACTCTTAGAATACACTAAGACTCTTCTCCTAGAACTTTACCTCACTTCACTTAGCTTTACTTAGCGCTACTTAGTGCTCCACTCGAATACTAACGTTCCAATATATACGATTCCTAATCTGCATAACCACGCTCTCTTCTTGGGTTGGTTGGAAAGAATTGCCATTCTGGCCCCAAAGAAATCCCAAAAGGATAAATAGAAGAAATACCGATAAAGCCCCGTCACAACATATATAATTAAAAATCTTGTTTGAAGAAATTCTGTTTCTCGTTACAAGAGAATGAAATATATTATATGTATTATTCAAACAATATTAATACATCACAAAGTAGTATCACTTTTAAGTCACATATTGTAATGCAGCACACACACATTAGTATATATAAGATATTAATACTTTTAGTCTCACAAGTATTGTTTCTCCGCCTTTCTTATTTTGATAGTAAACATGTAATATAAAAAAAATTTAAGTAAATTTCTACTTAGGTCAACACAAAGAAAATTTTTATTTTAGTTACAATTAATATAAACATGTACATACATAAGACAGAATCACGATATTAAGTGACAAAATAGAAAGTGGATTTCATTTCTATATATGGTATTGGACCATTATTTCTAATTGTTACAATTTATTCCTTCATATATCACATTCTCAGAAATTAGGTCATCCCAGTTAGGATTCGAACCCATGACCTTTGAATTAGAAGTCCAAGGAGCTATCCATTGCTCTACAGAGACACAACAAGCAAATTTCTTTTTTATATAGGGTTTTGGACTAATTTTTTTGTTTCCTTTTATTCATTAATTATATTTAACTAATGAATTGATATTTGAAAAAACTGTATTAACATGAAGTGTCATCCACTGCAAGTTTAAAAAAATGATTTAAACTTGAATGGAGATTGGAAAGTATTTTATTAACGAGTGAAAATTTGAACACGATATATATATATAAATATAGGGAGATTATGGACAAATAGTAGAAATTGGAAAAGGTGATGAGAGATAAATTTTTTTTTATTTAGTAAAATATCTTATTTACTTAAATTCACGGTTTCCGTTTAAGCAAAGCTTTAACAATTTGTCCTGAAAAATATATTTCGCTGTAGATCGGGTAATCAGGGGTTTGAAAACTGATATTTTTGTTTAAAAAATATTTCCCAAATTAGCCTCATCGTAGAGCTACACGAGAGCTTTGAAAATATCTATATATACAAACTAAACCAAGTGAAAAAGGGGAACATTTTTGGCAGGGGAAAACGGGCCCCCGGGCCGGGCCCCACAAGGGGGGCCACGTCTCGATTTCGACTTAGCCTTAATAAGGTCAGGATTAGAATAATTTTAAACGTCCATTGTTATTTCCGGTTGCATTCTCCGAAGAAATGTGAATTGCGGGTGACATGTCAACTGGCTACATGTGATGACCATAGTCCATGTATAGGTCTAGGTCTACCACCATCCACCATTATTACTCTACTCCGGATTTTGCGATTGTAAGTCTTTCACATTTATTAGTTTCGGGTTAATGCTTGTACGAGTATTTAACAACATATGCTATGTACTGTCTACTTTTATGGGCATCACGGGGGGGCCTCCCCTTAGGGGCCCAGGGCGTTTTTTTCCCCTGGCCCGGACCGAAAAAGTCTTAAGAAGTCCCTGGTGATAAGAACTTAACTTCCACACCATGCCACTTGGTTTTTAATGTATAGTAACACCAACTTGTGGTGATATAGGTGAGAAATCAGGTGATATCTCTTATACAGACTACCAAAAAACCCAAACTTTGCACTACTATCACAACACCAAGAATTTGCGAATATCCGTTCATTTTTAAAAAAAGGGGCTTTTGTACATTCGAGAATTGAACTTCAGATCCATCAACTACGAATCTCCTAATTATGACATATTAAGGATCACTAATTCATTAAACAATTTGTTGTGTGGAAATAAGTTATTTTGTTGCAGATTTCTACTAATATCCATAAGTCTTTTTGGTACTTACGTGTTATGCATCGACCAATTTCTTCTAATATAAAGGCGTAACTAAATCGTGTTTTCTTTATAATTATTTTGTTTGAACATGTACGAGAACGGTTTTCCTCTATTGGCAGCATATTGTGGTATTTAGAAACGTCTTTTGACGTGATTTTACGAAATTGGTCGATGGTATAATACATGTGCCGTCTTTTTAACTAAGCATTGTTTTTGAAATTAGAGAAAAGTATAAGAAAATTTAAAGTTAAAATTTTCAAAAAAAAAAAAAACTGAAATGATGGTTATCAACAAATGCGGTTAAAAATACATTTGAATAAAAATTTCCAAACCACAAATTATTAAAATCATGCTCTTAACCAACTATAGGCAACCGATACGTGTACGTGTTTCACATTTTGCGTTAAATTTAATATGAACCCTGAAGCATGGCAACCCTAATGATGGACCGTTTTAATTTCTTTAAATGTATTTTTCTTAAAAATACGATGAATATAAAAATTTTACTTTCTTTTAAAAATAATTATTAATGCAGATATAAGTTCCAAAGTACATGTTATATTGAGATTTAAATATTATAAAATTCTTTTAAAATCTGTCAAAACTATCAAATCTATACTCTCTTTCACAGTATTATTTAATTAGATAGCTGTATTAGCACATAATGGTTTGCATTTAATTTATCTAGGTTAAATACTCATTAATTTGTGAAAAAAACATATACCGTATTTACACGAATCTAAACCGCACTTTTTTTCCAGTGTTAATGCTACTGAAAATCGGGTGCGGCTTAGAATCGAAGGAAAAAATTCGTTGGATGGGGCAATTAAAGCAATTGCAGGCTCATGTATATATTTAAAAGTTTATAATACTGAGATAAAATAACTAATTATTCACTTCTTATTAGTTCTTATTTTTAATTTATTTTAATTTCGTAAAATTGGATACCAATAAACCCTTTTACAATATACTTCATTTTTCACAAAAACTTGTTTAGAATTTTGAGTGCGACGGTGATAGTGGCTTAGATTCGAATAAATACGGTATTTATGATCTATATAATGCAAAAAAGGGATATAAACACAAAAAGAGGAACAAAAAAGGAAGATGAAATGACAGCATGACTTGTTGTAAATAGAGAAAGATCGGTATTACATCCTGAGAGAAGGTCACCTTTCATTATTCAAGACCACAAACCTCATAAGAGAATAGAAAGAAAACTCAGTAACCTTGCAGTTTAAGTTTTGTATTTATCTCAAGGGATTTTCTGAGAGGTTGTTCAATGGAATACACACACAATCAAGCTAACCTAAACTCTGCCACAATTTAAAGAAAATTATACATCCATTGAATTTAAGAAGGGTTAAACATATTTTTAACCGAAAAAATTATTGTGTGAAAAACTATACAAGATTAAATAAAGAATCATTACATTAGATTTTTATCCATATCGAAAAATCATAACTAAATGAGAAGAAAAAAGTACTGAGGAATAAGAGAAGTTCAATCCTTTTTCCCTCCTTACTTATTAGTATGATACAGGAAGGAAATAATATATATTGAATTTAAGAAACGATATTTTTTTTAGATCAGATAATATATCCGCATTTTATCCTCTTCTTTTTTCATGAGAAGTTTTTGAACCAAAAGAAAGAAAAAGAAAAGGAAAAAGATTATTTGTAAAGAAAATATAGGCATTTTAACTAGACACAAGAAAAGCAATAAATAAAAACAAAACAATTTACATTCATATACAGTATTTGATAAACAAAAGCATAATAAACATGAGTTAATTTAATAGTTGTTTTCTTGATGTATTACAGAAAAATTTCGCGTGACTCCTTGAGTCTTAAGGTATTCGACTACGTTCGGAGCTGTGGTTTTAAAAAAGAGCATAAATGGACAATTTTCATGATATTTAGTGTCACTTAGATTAGATTACATGTATAAAACTATTTTAAGGATATTTTGACAAAAAAAATAATTTTAATAGAATATTTTGGCAAAAAATTAACTTAGAATAATCTTTTTTCAAAATGTTCTCCTTTATAAAAAATGCTTCTAAAATAATAATATTTCTCTCGTATATAAAGTAAAGACTTCTCCAGAGAGTCTGAACTAGGATTTTAGAAAAATTCACATTATTTTCAGTTACCACAAATTGAAATAATTATCGGAGTCTTTTTCTTAAAATTTCTCCCCTCTGTTGTCGTAAAACATGGATAAACTCACTTCTAGGTATATATTTTAAAAATCATAGTTGAGCCTCTGTCTGAGCTATAGACAGGCAAAATATTATTATATAATGGAAGCATTTTTTTCACAAAAGGAGAATATTTTGAAAATGGGTCATTCTATGTTCATTTTTTGTCAAAATAGTGTACTTAAATCATTTTTATTGTAAAACTATTCTTAAAACAATTTTGTATACATTTTCTAGCCTAAGTGAGATTAATATCATAAATATTATCCATTTATACGCTTTTGCAAAATCATGGTTCCGAACGTAGTCAGATACCTTAAGTTGTTGATCCTTGCTGTAAGTAATGAGCAATTTAATAAAACCATATTGTGCATCAAAATTGTTTTAACTTCACGCAATTAAAAATTGAGAATCTTCACCTTAAATCTGTAAATATTTTCATCTTTGAAAATATCTTAAGGAAATCTATTTCTAATCAAAATTTTAAATACTAAATTACTATAGCTATTCCTTCTAGTTAGTGCTAAAGAATTGATTCAAAAGAAATCTTTCTCCATTCCAAGCTATTAACATTGAAAAAGGTTTATTAGTAGTATATCAATTCAATCTCGTTTTTTTGTGAACATAGGATTAACCCAATAATTTTTAATTCCAAAATCACAATTTGTACATGAGAGTTACATTATTGGAGATATTTTGCAGTGAATAATATGCTTATACATTGACTATAATCTAAAATCAATTATGACGAATTAAATGAAAATACATTTTGTGACTATAGATATCATAAAAACATGCAATATCATATTTCTTTATCATTATAAATGAGCTTGTTATCTTTATTTAATTTATACAAAATTAACAAAATACTATGCAAGTCACATAAAAAAGATAAAAATTGCAACCAAAATCGCCAAGACTGCTATCTTGGCGATAAGTTTGGCAATCTTAGTGAACACCCTTGCTTTTTCCCCAACCTGATACTTTAGCATGTTAATTTCATTATTCTAAAGTGGATTGCAGGATGTGGTATCAATATTCTTTTCCTCTAAAATACGTCCCAAACTAGTGTCACCACTTTTCATTCATCACCCTTAAAGAAAATTTTTTCAAGAAATAAATTCCATCAATTTAAAATTTTTGCGATGACAGGGATTTTCCCATAACAGCAGATGGGAAACACTTGTAATTGATACGGTGTAGCTCTACACAACTTGCATATTCTTACGCGATAAATGAACCTTTAAAAATCCTGTTCCAAGTCCAGATTTACTAAAGAAATATTTCTCTAAGAAACCAGACAGAAGGTAGAATTGTTACATTTGAGTGAAATCGGTGAAATTATCATCGCCATTGCGCTCGCGCTTATCTCTCTTTTTCCTTTTTAGGGATTTTCTTTCCTCTTCGACACATTTTTCTACCGCGGGTGGTTAAGATTGTTGTGATGAGACTCTTAACTGTAATCGGAAACCGCAACTATTCGGCGATATTCCACACTCAACAAAGGATTGTTTGGTTCGAAGAACGCCGTAAAATGGTTTTC